AAAAAATTTGATTTTTATTTCTTTTATTTGAACAAAAAATTTGATTTTTATTTCTTTTATTTGAACAAAAAATTTGATTTTTATTTCTTTTATTTAAACAAAAAATTTGATTTTTATTTCTTTTATTTGATTGCAAATAATAAAAATCTAAAAAAGTAAGAAAACAAACTGATGATTGTGATTTTAATAACGGACACAATTGCATTTATAAATGAACATAAATGCTAAATTAAATTCTGATTTAGTTTGTATAGATTGTTTTTACTCAGTTCAAGATATGAATTAAATGAATTAAAAAAAAAACAATGACAACAAAAAAGTTCTATTGAATTGTCAAATGATCCCACGCTCTTTTTTTCTTCATCCTACTCAAATATGTCAGTATGTTATTGATTTATATTATTAATATCATATTTGGAGATAGAAACTTATGTGATCCATCTTAATTCTTGTTTGTTTTCTGCAAGAATTATTATTCATTATGAATATGAATTGAAATTGTTGAATCGAAATAAAACATCGAAACACTATTAAATATTATACAGAGATAAATTGAAAAATTCGAACTCAATAAAACACAAGGGAATGATTGAAACAAGTAGATACTTTTGAGAAAAAAATTCTTTTTATTTCTGACAAGAAAAAAATGTTTTTAAACAATTTTTTCATAAGTATACAATATGTTTTTTTTAGATTTCTTTTATTCATCTGATGAAGAAAAGAAAACGTGATATTGATGTTGTTATGAGTAAATGACGAACAAAAGTTTTATTTATTTTTTTTTGAAGTTTTTTTGGAAGCTTCTATAAATAATTCGGCACTAAAATGAAAAATGTAGTTTAATTTAAGCCAAATAAAAAATTAATTAAATCATACATTGCTGATTTGAAGACATCTTTCAATAGTTCCATTTGTTGTTCATTACTTTCTTTTTTTTTTTTTGGTATCTTTGGCAATTGAGAAATACTCTTGATATTTCTCTCTGTTATTTGAATATTAACAGCTTCAAGACCTTTAATTGCTACAAAACAGAGAAGTATGATTTATTTTATGACGAAAGTCAGATAAATTACTTTTGATTACATCGAATTTACATTTATCCGATAAGAAAAATTTTCCTTGATAAGATTGGTTGATAAGCGATGCTTCTCGAGCAAATATGTCTTTGTATTGATTTTTATCATTACTACAAAATATATGAGATTGAAGATGAAAAAATAAAAAGTAGATGATAATCACCGTTTGAGAAAAGCGTAATGCTTTGCTCGATTCACCGTGACGATCGTTCCATGGACTCCTTTTTCTGAGAATAGAATATTTGTTTTAGTTTTTTAATTTTCAAAAATGTATTACCAACAACGATAGGTTCATTGTTAACAGGATTAAGTACTTTATCCTTGCTTCGAATGATTGTTCGACTATAAACTCGTTGACCATCACCAACAATCATTGGTTCATCATCATCAACAATCACTGAGTTATTGGCAAATGAATCTACACCTGTTTCTGTCATTGATGTATTCGATTTGTTCTTCTTATTTCTGCTGATGATCATTTTTAAGTTGACTTAGGAGGTTTATTCCGTTTTTAAACAAAAAAGGAAGATTTTGTGGAATAAAAAAAGGTTTTTATGAAAATAAATTGCTTTAAAAATCTTTCAAATTGATCAACAATCGAAACAATTATTCGAACAAGAAAAAAGTATTTATTCATTACCTTTTATTCCACATAAAAATATTTTTGAATATTTTGGTTATTCAATTAATAATCAATTATTTTATCTTTTATTTGAGTATTCATCTTTTGGTTCATTAAAAAATTATTTAATTGAAAATTTTATTTCAATGAAAAAGATTTTTTTATATTGATTTTAATAGCAACTAAATATTTAAAATCTAAGTAGCTTGATTATCTTAAGACTTACGATAAGTGAATCTCTCACTGACAAATTGAAATAGAAAGATAGATGCAATTACTTACACTCTTTCCAAGTCTCAGTTCAAAAACAAGTAATGTTCAATGAATGTCGATTTACTCGTCCATAGACTAACGAAACGAAAAACTTTTTTGGTACAGAAAAAGCCCAATATTTCTGAAATCCAGTATTCGAAATCTATTCGAAATAAAACAAAACAATTATCTATATATCTCTGAAAAATTCGAAGTGAAAAAAAAAAGAAACCTAAATATGAAAATCTCAAGGAAAATCATGATAATTATGGAATGTGCATGAATACCAGATACTTTCATTTGGCTAGAATTTTATCAAGTGACAGAGCATGTTAATATGAGACATTCAATCGCGTGAAAGAATCAATATCTTTTATTATATATCATTTTCACTGATGTATCATAAGAAAAATAGAGTTTTTATTGTCATTGAATATTTGGTTTATTTGAATGCAGATAGAATGAATGTGAACTGATGATTTATTTATAGATCTAGAATGACTCGGATAACTCGTACACAATTTATTTTTAATGAAAAGAGAACAATGTATTTTTATCAATACTGTCCAAGAGAAATAGTCATTGCTCATAAGAATAATAAATAATTGTGAGAAGATCATGTCGTCGTTGATTTAACATCAGGATTTCATTTTATAAAAGTCAATGAAATTCGTTTTTTTGATGAAATAGTTGATGATAATTAGAATAATTGAATTTGAACGGACAACCAAATGTTCATTGAAGACAACAAAAACTTTGTTCCTATGTTTAATTTAGATTATAATTTGATTAACTTACTAATAGTATTATCACAGTAATTGTGTATTATGTCGTTTATCATTGAATATTTCAAATGTTGATGAAAATCGAGTAGGGCGTAAAAAGCAACTCGAATAATATTTTTAAATATATGTCGTGAATGATCAAATATAAATGGTATCAGGCAAGACTTAACAAGGAATTTTGAGATAGAGAAATTTTGAAAGAATAGTATTTGTGTTACAAATAAGAATTTTAAAAAATGAAAGATTTTATCTTTGGACGATGAAAATTGTCTTTTTTCAATAATTCTTCCAGTTTTTCTTTAGATTCATGCGATGTAAAGAAACATTAATTTATGGATAATATGCAAGTCATTAATCTCAAATGATGAGACTTTTTTACTAATTGACCCTTTTTTTACATTTCTACATTATGTTTGATTGCTGTGATTTAGATGTGTTTCAATAGAAAAAAAATATTTACATAAATTTCTACTAATTTCGTTAGCGTATATAGTTTTTGTTATTGATTCATTTTGTGATTAAGATACATGTAAAGTAATTTACCTATCTTTACATTAGACCATATTTGTTTATTTTTAAGCTTAAAAGTTTTCCTCTTTCCTGTGATGATGATTGAATAAGCGAATAACTACATTTCATGCTGTTTAACTTCACGAAAATAAGTTTCTATTTTTCCCATATTTGATAAATTGATCAGATAGAATCTAATTGTTATTGAGCACAAATTTTATAGGTGATTAATAATCGAATCATCTAATAAAGATTCTGAAAATGTTAAAGAATGTCTAAATAAATATCATAAATCGGCTTTGTCCGGTCTCTACGTCCATATACAGGATGGCCCATAAATAGCACTACGATAATAAATTCAAATATCTCCACTCCGGTTCAACCAAATGGGCTGATTTTTTGGTTGCTGGTAGAACTTTATTCAAAATATTTTGTTCATATGAATAATGTAATTAAATGCTTCTATTAGATATAATTAATGAGCTCACTAAAAAGGGTTTGTCTATTATCAAGTAAGAAAAAATTCGTGAAGTATTTCAAAAATAATTTTCAGCTACCATTTAGGAGAATAGTGAGAACAAATCAAAACAAACTATATGAGTGATACAACATTGATAGAAATAGAGAAAACTTTGAGAAATACTTTGTTTAAATAGTAAAATTCATGCCCGAAAACTATAAAATGCATAATTATTTCACATATTCTTTTCTTACTTGACAATAGAGGAAATTTTTTGTGAGCTCATTAGTAATACCTAATAGAAGCATTTAATTATATTATTCGTATGAAAAAAAAAGAATATCAATGTTCGTAGAAGAAAATATTTTCTTTTTCTTTTTTACAATTTAAAAATTCAAATGTCATCGGAGTTAAACATGATGAGAAATAAATCAAAATAATATCTACTATGATTAATTTTAATTTATTTTGATATTGATGATTTATTCGATAGTCAAAAGGTACATCTTTATTGGAAGTAATCACTCTTTAAGAATAACTCCTCTATTCTATCAAGTTAATCGAAAATTATTTTCTTACCTATATTAAATGATTATTTTTATCACAAAACATCATATTTAATTGAGATATTTGTTAACATATTCAGTTATTTAAAAGAGAATAAAAAAACAAAGAAAATCTATTATAAATAATATTATTAATCGATATCGATTTAATTGTTGAATATATATTTGAATGAAAATTCTTTTAAGTAAATTCTATTGAATAGATTGAAGAGAAGTTCTTATCATCATAAACTTAAATAAATCGAAACATAAAATCATTTGTCTTTATTAATAAATGATTAAATATGTTTATTTTATTTTCAAAGTTGTTCATCATTTGAAAAAAAAACTAATTAAAACGAATTCATTGACTTATTTTTGTTTTTACTAATTTAATCATTGAACAAATGTTATATCTATATCGATTTATTATAATCAATCATGATCAAGCGCTTTAATTAACAAATATTTTTCTTTTCAGATATTTTCCTGTTTGTCTTTTTATTGTCATTGTTCGAAAAATCTCACTAGATTTTAATAATAGATATACCAATTGTTAATGAAATATATTTCAAAAACAAATGAAAACAATAAAGAAAATATATTTATTGACAAATCTATGTTTAAATCTACAGGAATAGATTTGTTTTTTCCTAATATCTAATAATCTCTATTCAACGATAATAATTGAAATAAACATGACATTTTATTTGTCGAAATAATCAATCAAATTTCCTCAAGTATGATTTTACTTTTTTTATTTTTTTTCTTTATTTTGTATAATATTATTATTTAAATGATTATGTTTATTTTATTCAATGAAAAGGATCATTGAAAAATTACCACATAGATAATAAATGTTATTCGAATTTATTTTTACGATTTAACTAGATAGAAAATAAAAGCTCGTTTATCTATATATAATAAAAGATAATAAAAGATAATTTATTTGAATAAGTTCGATATAAATCTATTTTATTTGTCAATATTATTTATTCTGTCAATGATATTATCTATTAACGTCAATCTGATTAGATTTTATCATATATTGATCGAAGATAAAAACAAAAAAAATGGGGAACAGTTTTAATAGAAACAAACTGAGTAAATTATAGATGGTTATAATCAACTATCCAATATCGAAATATCACTATTAAACAACAAAAAATATTTTTTTTCTTTAAATAATAAATGACAATAAACAATAATGTCATCTATCGTTGTTTTGATACAAATCACGTTTACTTTTTAATGTAAAAACAAAAAAAAAGTAAATTGAAATTTGTCTATCTTAAATAAGATCAGAATAGTTAATCATCGAATTCAAATCTTTCAATTCTTATTATTTTATTATTTTAATCAAAATACACATAATAATATGTTCAGATTTGTTCTACTGTTTTTTTTCTTTAAATAATAATATTGATTTAATTAACGAATTGAATGTATACATATATAATATAAACACATAAATTATAGTGGCATGTTTAACTTAAATATATTGAGAAAGATACAAAAATAAATATATAAGAAGAAGATTTTCATTGCTATTATCATCAATATTATCTTAGGATTGAATAAACAAATTGACACAAAAGACAACAAATGATGTCGAACTATTTTTTTAAAATTCTTTTCTTCTTAATTTAATTCAATTGAAATCAACAAAACAGTTTGAGTATTATCATATGATATCGATAGATATATATCAAATCAATATGAAATGAATTTCTAGATAATTATTATCTCTTGATTTTTTTCTCTTTAGACGCATTTCTAAATCAATCTTAAATAATATATTAATTTATCATTCAATTTGATTATAATTGATATTTAGTTGAAAAATATCCAACTAAATATATTAAAAAATCTTTTTTATTGTTTATTCTATAATGTTTTCTAAATTGAATAATGATAATCGAATATTAATTAAATATCCACAAATAATTTATATATATATTTGACTTATGTTGATAAAACGATAATGATATAATTATGTATCGATCGTTGATAAAGTTGTCGCCTTTATTTAAATCTAGTTTGATTTTAAAATTAAGATTAATTTATTAATTAAAGATTTTTATAAGAATTGAACATAAATATTAAATGTCTTTGTCTAAAACAACTCTTTTATATTTGTTTAACAAAGATCTTTTATTTAATTAAATATTTAATAGAATTATTGAAAAAAACAAAAAGAAAATATAGAAAACAAAACAAAACAAAAAAAAAACTTTTTCAAATATTATTCATCTTCTAAATAAACAAATAAAAATATCAAAAATTTGATTATAATTATATGAAAATATAATCTTTGATTTATTTTCTAATAAATCAATATCTCAAATGAAATAATCATTTGAATAAAAAAAAAAAATTCTTTTTCTTATCACAATAGAGAATAAAGAAAGATTATTTAAACCAATTGAATTATTTTCATTATGTTTAAACAATCGATCAATATTTATATTTATTGTTAAAAATAGAAATCATACCAGATTTTAAGATAAACAATAAATTAATATAATAATAGAATTTACTTCAATAAAAATAAACTTGATTAGTTAAATAAATTGCTCATAATAATATGAATAGACGATAAATATATATCTATTTAAAATAAATAAATCGAATTAAATATGATTTTGTTTGTCACATTGAATATATTCATTGTGTCGATTAAACATATATTAAATATTTATTTTAGCTAGTGATTAATTATATTCTAATGTGATTTTCTTCGATATTGAAATCTATTTTCCTTTTATACTTCGAAAATTGTTAAAGAATGTCGCATTTGGATAAATATTTATTTGAATGTTTACTTGACAGATAAAAATATTCAACAAGAATAAATCAATCAGTATGCTATAATTAATATTTTCTTTTTTGTGTACTCAAAAAGTGAGTACACTCTAGAATCGGTCAGTATGTCCGGCCGGCCGTTTACACGACAAGTTTCGAAAGGACAGTCCTATCACGATGAAATTTTCTATACAGTTCAGTCTTTAAATATCTCGGTCGAGTTCGAAGATGAGAAGGATCGGCCGAGCCGTTCCTGAGTTATTGCAAAAATACCCACTTTTCCCTATAGCTTCCTATGCGAAAATCGACCCCTCCCCGCTTTCGTAAACAACTTTTCCTATCATAGTCAAATAAAACCACAACTATTATATACCATTTGATAGAGAATTTCACGAGCTACGAAATGGCATATAAAATATAAAGAAACAAGAAGACTAGCTCACCTATTGAAAAGATTATTAAACGGAAATTGGTTCTGTTTTTGTCCCCGCTCTGATTGATCCATAAATAGAGCTCTGTCTTCCTATCACAGAGATGGTACCTCGAGGTTTTGTGGGGCGGAGAACTCGAATCTGTAATTCACTTGCTTCGAAATCTCATTAGTTCAGCAGTGAACAATAGAGATCAAGTTATAAGAAAAACGCCTTTCTAAGGGTAAATCAGGGCGCAGAGTTCAAATCTGATCTGTATTCGTTCCTAAATCCTATTGGTTGAGCAGTAGCCAATAGAATTGAAGTGTTTATAGAAAAGGTTTGCCAGGATAATTTTGATGTCCACACATGCTAGGATGGCTCATTTGCCTAATTCACTTTTTGCAGTACACATAACCATCGGATTTAAATCCGAGGTTTCCACATTTATTATTCTATATTATTTCTTCTCACTGTTTCAATTAATGACTCGAACTAACGTGAACAACTAGATACAGCACTAAACTTGGCAAGACATTAAACCTCCGGTAAATTTGAAAATTTCTACAATCGCCATATTACTGATCAGCACGAGGATTCTTCAAGGATGATGATATTTTAAAACTGTTCCTTTGCGTTAATAGTGAAACGTGCTATGTTTTATTGACTTTATCGAAATATCATTCAAGATTCTCATATTTCTTAGTGAAGTTGTAAGCGAAAACAAAACCAAGGGTCTCTCAATTTTGTCACTAGTTCCGGCTTTCTGCAAATACTCTTTAACATTCTTCAACAACTGTAAGATTCATTAATAAAGCGAAACCACGTTTCCATAAATTTACTCGCAATAAATAGAATTGACTAACCGACAGAAGATATTTTTCTTAGCTACAAAGTGAATGATTTGCTACTGGTATTTTAAGTAAAAAATTGAATCAACTGTATTTTTAAACCGCTTCAACATACATTTTTTGACTACCTTTCCATCTAATTTCTTCTCATATAAATATATAGTAATATCGAAAAGACAATCATAGCTGATTTTCAACTTGCCAAAAATCATGAAACAGGAGATTTTATGCATGAGATAGTCTGTACATTTGACTTCTAATTATTGCTGTCGTATGTTTTAAAAAATATCCTTTTATTGTTTCCCGATGTAACAAGGAAAAATGACATCCTTCATACATTTTTAAAAAATAGGGCAATTCTATCTTCCTTCCTCTTTTATATTTCCTTTCAGCTCTCTTTCAAGACAAAGACAACGATCATCCAATAAAAACGAACCAATCGAAATATAGAGGTCACCCGTGATTAGCTCAATCATCATAAAGAAATATCTTAAATATATATAGATATCTATATATCATATATAGATATCTATATATAATATATATATAGGTGTTGTTCATAAATATATATACAATTGTACGATATAGAAAAAACTATCTTTAAATAACACTTGATTGCAATGAGATTATGATCCTTTTACAAGTGTATAAAAAGATCATTCGAATAAAGAGCTTCTATATTCGTTTAGAACGGTCATATATCTTATTCTAAAAGTACTGTTCTAAATGGAATCGTGAAATGGACGGCTAAGAATAACAAAAGAAAAACAAATAGTCGATTTATTTCAACTGTCCTTTAATCAAAGGACAACAATATGATTCACTAGGATAAGAGCTATTAATCGTACAGATAAACATAATAGTGAATAGTCCGGTCTGAATAAACGAATAATATCAAGATATATGTATAATCACTCTCTCCAGGTCATTTCTTCTATACGTGTTATTCTTCTTCTTTGTTTAATGTTATATGTTTGATATCACATATTATCTTTTTTTGTTTTCTTCTATATATATATCGAAACATTCTATGGACGCATCATTCAGTTTCTTATTCACCACCTTTTAACACATATACATTATCCTGATATTTTTATTTTTCCACCGTTAAAATATAATTTCATGTCGCCTAAACGTAAAACAATTGCTGCAACAGTTTCTTCGAAAACGACAATAAAGCGTCAATCTGAACGAGTTGTTGGTAAGATAGTTCATGAGGCAAATAAATCTGATGTAAACGCACAAAAACAACAATCTCGGCCTCGATCAACCGGAAAAAAAAATAAACGATGTTATAAAAGTAGTAATCTCGATAATGATTTGGAAGTAATTACTGAAGAAGGTGAGTTATCACTTTTTTTTCTTAATCGGCATTATGTGTGACATATCTATAGATTTAAAAGAAAGTCCAAAATCAATGAGTATTGATTCCAATGATACTGATTCAGGTCAACAAGAACTATCAATGTCTAATTCTTGTTCTTCGAATAGAAGTTATGAAGATAAAAATGTCAAAACATCAACAGCTTCTCAATTTGATATTGCTGATGATGATACAAGTGAATTTGAAGCTATGTTTATGCCGAAAACACCTCGGTTAAAAGCTAAATCAAACTACAATTCAACACCATTAGTACGATCTCAGCACCATAACCTGTAAGTTCTTTCATTATTGCGCATAAATTTATATTTCATATCGCGAATTCAGATCTGGCATATATACCAATGCTGAATCACTCTCATTACATGGAATGGAAAATAACATAAGTACACCATTATCAACCATCATCATCAATCATCAATCAACAACACCAAATACAAGCATCCAAAAGCTCAATACACCTTCTAATCCACGTGCCAAATCAAATTTATTATCTTCTAGTCAAGCGTCTGTTGGTAATCAATCTTTATCTAACATCAATTATACCACGAACAATAGTGCTATACTAGAAACGTTTAGCGAATATCGCAACTTAAAACGTGATTTACAACATGCGTTGAATCAAATTGAAAGTTGGAAGTCAGATTATAATTCGTTAAAACGTCAAATGGAAAAACTTAAAAAGAGTTCATTTCGTACGTTTCTTTCCCTATCATTCTATCTTTTATTTTATTTTTATTTATTTTTAGCTCGTCCTACTGCTGAAGGTCGTGTTTTTATCGAACAATTATTGGAATCATTAAAATCTTCTGAAGATGTACAAGATAAACGTTCTTTAGGTCAATTAGCAATTGACATTGGTGTGCCAGAAACAATACTTTTATCTTCTTCCAATATTGATCCACAAAAATCCGCTTTAAATATATTTAATTATCTTTTTCCTACAAATGAAGATAAAGTATCACTTTTAAATGTTGCCAAGGTTATGATTGAATATCCAAATTTATTGGACGATATATTTGGTAAGTGACTTTGTATTCAGTTAGGGGTGGGAAGTTACCGTTACGTTGCCAAGTAACTAGTAACTCGCAAGTTACTAGTTACCGAGTAACTGGTAACGTCGGAGTTACCAGTTGCCAGGTAACTAGTAACTTCGGAGTTACTAGTTACTTTTGGTAGGTAACTTGTCTAAGAAGTGGAGATATCGCTTCCTAATGAGTGAATACCATCATTACAGTACTTATTCAGCTCACGAGTTACCGAGTAACTAGTAACGCACATAGGAGTTACTAGTTACCAAGTAACTCGTAATTTAATTGAGTGATGAATAGATGATATTCAGTCATTAGGAAGCGATATCTCGGCTTTTTAGACAAGTTACCTACCAAAAGTAACTAGTAACTTCGAAGTTACTAGTTACCTGATAACTGGTAACTCCGGCGTTACTAGTTACTCGGTAACTAGTAACTCAAAAGTTACTAGTTACCCGGTAACGTAACTCCCGGGTAACGGTAACTTCCCACCCCTAATTCAGTCTTCTATCTTCTGTCTGCCTAACACCAAAATATACTGTGAAATTCACTTTTGATCGAGACTTCTGAAATCGATTAGTAAATGTTAAAATTTTCTGTCGAATTTCAGATGAATCCACAAACATAGTGGTTCTAGGAAAAGAATAGACAATATTATACGAAGTTATTTTGAACATTCGAATATCTATGGAAGATGTTTCTGCTAAGAAAAGCATCATATCAATTAATCTTGTATCTTAGTTTAGGTCAGATGAGTTTGATAAGATTGCACAAATTAGTTTCTTTATAGTACCGGCAAAATACTAGTAATTTCTACTTTTCTATTAAGTAACTGGTGATCTTTTTGTTTCAGTATTTGCACAACGAAATGCACCCGGCTGCAGTTATTCATTAGCATCAATGAAGGATGCTATAGGAAATTCTATTCGTTGTGCTCGTCACAAGGTTAAAATGGGGCACGCTAGATTTGTTGCAGCAGCAGCAGTGAACCAATTGAATCAAAATTATGACAACCATAATGTTGAATGAATGTCATGAAGGTATGATACATTTTGACAGTAGCTTTATTTCATTTTTCTTGCTGTCCGGTCCTACTTTATATTTTTAAGAAACAATATTCTCCTATAGTATTTATTAGAAATGATGGTGTAATCCAACTAATTATACAAGTTTTTCTTTCTACATTGCCTTTGTAAGGTTCTCTTGTTTTCAATTTTGTATAAACATAGTTCGTTTTTGTTTTTTGTTTTTTCTTGATATCAATATATTTGTCTCTATGTAATCATCATTCAACGACTGTGATTAGATATACCTGCTTTGTACATATCTCATCCTCTTAATTGTAAAGATGTTTTTTTTTATCACGTTTTTGTATTTGTATATTATTCATATATGTATATGTGTTAATGAAATTGATTCAGACAACGAAAAGATTTATAATAAACGAATAAATATATTATAAAAGATAAATCTATTGTTATTTATTCATAAAACTGTTTTCTAAGAAATAAACTGTCATGAACTATGAGTTCACTAAATACAGATGATGAAATCTTTCGAATATAAATATCTATATGTTCCATCGCAAGTAAAAGATCTTTTTTATTGATGATTTTTTTTGTTTATCTAAACCCAATAAACAGTACTTCTTTCTCTAATCTATATTTCTATCTTTTGCTTGCTGTCATGGTGAGAATATGCTCCGATTGCTCTTCTTGCTTGAATATCAATTGAAGTTCATTTCCAAATAAAATTTATCTCTATTAATTTTTTTGAAGCGTATGCGAAGCAGTTTTCTCATTTAATACATTAGATATTAATTAGATCACATCTCATGATTCGGATTTAATAAAATGTCTACGGCACGAAAAAGACTATCACGTTTAAATCAACGATTGTCGCATGCATATCGTCGACAATCAGCGTTACATGCTATAATTGATGTTTTCAAGTAAGTTCTATTGAATTCAACTGATTTAGTATTATGTCTGCTTTCGAATATTAGTTACGCAGGTGCTGATGTTTCAATACCTATATCATCCGCATCATTATCGACTACATACAATATTCCATCTCCATCTTCATTATCACTTCCATCGACATCACCAATAGAACCAATTGTTTTAGCACGCAAAGTGTGCCGTTCACCTTCTTCTTCTAGTTCTCTCTCTTCTTCATCTTCTTTATCAGATTATCTTGACAATTCAGATAATGACTCTTTTTGTGCTCTTATCAATGAAGAATTCCATTCAATCAATTTAGAGAGGTCAGAAAATACTTTCACAAAATTTTCTGTCAATGATGACTTGCAAAATTCTACAGCACCTCTTACATCAAAAGAAATAGGTGTGTTACTCATTGAATTACGATATCGACATTCATTAACGAAGTCATGTATCACACACATTTGTCAACTTTTACAATTATTAGAAGTCCCAAATGCTCCAGTCAGTTTTGACAGTATTGAATCTCAAGTACTTTGTGCTTATCAATCAACAGTTTTTCCATCGCAAAGCATTATATGTCCCTCTTGTTATCAAAGATCTTCTGATTTGAAAAGGTGTACGAATACTCAAGATTGTGTATTCAAAGATTCATTTAGTCGTTCACCAACTATCAATTATACTTTTGCCCTCGAGCCACAAGTCCGATCAATACTTGAAAGAAATCAAATAGTGTTTCGAAAATTTAATCATGATTCTATTTCAGACGTAACTGATGGGGAAGTTTATAAAAAACTACTTAGAAAAGAGGCAAAACCATTCGTAACACTGTTGATGAACTCTGATGGTGGTTTAGTCAAATCAATCTCAGCATCAATATGGTTAACAACCTTTATAGTTAATGAATTACCTAGATCATCACGATTTCTTCCAGAGAATACTATTATTGGAATGATCTCTACAGGAAGCATGAAACCAAAAAAGGATGAAATGTCGTCGATTATGCAAGACCTTGTAAACGAGCTTCTTCATTTGGAAAACGGAATTCATATACTGTTGCCAAAAGATGAATCAAATAATTTAGAACAAATTGTGAAAATATTCTTGTTCAATTGTGTTTGTGATAAACCAGCAACATCTCTCCTACTTAATCATACTGAGTGTACTGGTTTCTACGGTTGTACTTATTGTAATATAAAAGGTAATATCATATACATAGAGAAGCGAGTAACCGTCGATTTACTGCAGATTATAAACACTCCTCTCTTAAGTTTTTGATACAAAGCAGATCAATAGTTAGTAGAATTTCCTTTAAGAAGCTTTACATAATGAGATAAAGTTTATTTTCCCATTTGCTTCATTTCTCTCGTCTAACTCTTACTGGTTACAGGTAAATCGGTAGAAGTAGGAAAAACGACAATTCGTTCATTTGCCTATGATTCACGTGAAGAAATTTCAATACGATCCAACAAAACATATGACGATGCAATCACATTCATTGATAATGTAAGTTGAATCTCTATTCTTGATTAGTTTTGAAAGATATATTTAGGGTTACAAATTAATTAACTCGAATGATACTTTCTCAAAAGCAGCAGCTGTTGAATATTTACAAGGTTTAAAGGGACCATGTCTCCTTCGCAATTTGAAATATTTTAATATTTACAATTCTTTTGTTTGCGATACATTACATAATCTTTATTTGGGAGCGACGGTAGACTTTTTTCGTTATTTTTGTTAATTATTACTACCTTATATTTAGGCGAAAATGTTGAAACTACTGTTGTCAAAACCATCTGTCACTGGAGGTATATCATATGCTATGAGTGTATATGGTCAAATAGATAACATTGCTGAAATTATCAATTCAATTTCGTTTCCGTCGACAACATATCGACAACCAAGAGACATTCGTTTATTTAGAAAATTCAAAGGAAACGAGTTGCGCATTATTTTATTGTTCGCATATTCGTGAGTTTCGTACTTTCCCATTTATTTTTTATGCCTCTATTTTATCTAGAGCATTTGAAAATTTTCTTGATGAAGAACGTTATAATCATCTAAAAGTATTAGCTTTTATAGCACATATAATTGAAGGACAATGTCTCTCTAAGGAAGCTCATAAGGAGGTAGAGTATTTAGCAACGTATTTCGATGAACAATTCGCCTCTCTCTATTCGGTGAGCTATTTTCTTTTTGCTTCTTTAAGTATATTTTTCGATGAAGGAGAGACATGTTGTGTCTGTGATCCATTCAATTCGTCATTTCCATTCTTGCATTCGAAACTATGGTCCAATGTTCAATTATTCAACATTTTCTTTCGAATCTACGATGGGTTTGTTTTTAGTCTTTTCTTTACATTATCGATTTGATTGTATCAATAGCATCACTTTCTCGAACTGTACATAGTAAATCTACACCTGCACGTGAATTGATTAAAAATATTGATCTGTATCGTCAGTCATCTATTTGTATTTCCTCTCCATCATTTTCAATGTATGGAAAACAATATATTTCACGAATATCTTCTTCTATACGTCAAATTACATTTAATTATGAAGACAGTCATCCCAAAATGAAACTTCATAACAAAATCAATTCAATACCATCCAGCTTCTTCATCCAATATTCGAATTTATCTCAATTTAACATTTTATTTTACAAAACATTATTTATTGATCATTTACGATTCAGTGCAGATGATTTTACTGTACGTCGACGTTCTAATGACGCTTGCGTCTTGTATAAATCAAAAAAGAACTCTTATTCAATTGGATTCATAGTATATGTCATTCATATAATTAATAAAGATGAGATCTATCTAGTTTTGAACAAAGTGAAAATAATTTCAACAGCTGACACTCTTCACATTCAAGGAAGAAGTTTTAAATGCAAAAATATTTCAAAGGGTACCGTTGTACCTGACTCTACAGCTATTATTCAACCATCTCAAATCACACAAAAACTTGCTTTTCGACCAATATTTGACGATGATCCATCAGTATTAAATACTTTTCTTTTTTGTCAATATCCTAACTTGAAAGAGTGTTCTTAACTTATGTTACTCTAAAAAAATAAACGCTTATAACTCAAAAGTAACATTTCCATATAATTTCTAGCTACTTAAAATAGCTTCTACATCAGTCTAAAACTTTAAAAAAGTAGCGTCTGTTTCCAGGAAATGGTCAAAATGTATCATTGCTAGATCGCAATGCATTTTAATGAATATTTCTCCATTATTTAATGAAAAAGGAGCATTTTAATGGTCAGAATGGCCTATTTACGGATAATAATGCATTTTAATGACCGTTTTTTCATTATTCACTTGGCAGGGCATACTCTTCCCATCCACAGAATAGAATGTTATTCCATGATAGAAA